TTACACACCCCACCCCATTGCCTGGCCACCCTCAAGTAACAAGTGCACACAGGAAGAGGCTTGCAAAGAGGCCTTTATTTATCTAGCTCAAATAGACACTATCACAACCGTAGTTACTCCTTTTACTAAAATAGTTCAAATCAGTGTCTGTACCACACTATCAAAAAGGGCTATTTCTTTCCCAATCAAAGTGGTTCAGTAGAAGGTGGGCGCAAACACTGGAGCCGGCAGGCGGGTAGCCAGACTCGGCCACTTCCAAAGAGTGGCCCAAACCCCCGAGATACGAAAATAGACAGCCCTGCGCCTAGTCTCTTACAAAACACAAAATCAGTAGTATTTGTTTCAAGGAACAGGAAAGGTCACTTTTTCTCTGAACACTGGTGTGTGGCTAAAACCGGTCTGACTGCTCGGTGGGTTCCCATTGGGAGCGGGGTCACGGCTGCAGGAGGGGGCTGTCGTCTCAGGGCAGCTTGAGGGTGCAAGACGAGAATGTGAAGGGACAGGCCCTTACTGCGGGACACCAAGGTCAGCAACAGCCCACCTGCTGTCACCAGACACTGGCCCGCAGCCACCTCCCACCACCACCCCCATACCTCAGCAGCAGGCCCTGTGCACCTGGGGCGGGCAGACTCACTGCTGGCTCTGGAGCAGCTTTGTAAGTCAGACAGACCCATCTGTCTGTCCTAACTTGGGTGGCGGCAGCAGGGGACAGGCAGGCCTGCCCCCTCCTCCCTCGCTGTACGGCGAAGCAGGAGGGTCTCAAAAACACTCCTTTCTTGGTGCTGCCCCATGGGTGTGGTGTGTCAATGGGGTGGGTGGACCTTGGGTATTGGCCAGTACCAGGAACCCTAACTTATTGCTTACTGTTGGTGGCAGCCGAGCCAAACAGGACCCAGGTGGGTGGACTCCCCACCCCTCAGAGGCCACCCTGGTTCTTCTCACTTCCCCCAGCAGCCCGTGTGGGCAGGAGTCTTCTACAATATGACCAGAGCTTCCTGGTGCCCCCAGGCCCCTGGGTGCCCTAGCAGGGACCCATTTAGCACCTGCCTGGACACGGGCTGAGGGTCCCCTCCCAAGACAGGGTGGGGGAAGAACAGAGACCACAGAGGCGGAAGTGACCGGGAGTGGATCCCAATGGGGCAGAAGGGACGGCCTGCCCTTCAGGGTTTGGTTTCCACAGGGCCCTGTGCCCCTTTGAGCCCCATCTTCCTTGGCCTCCAGTGATCAGACAGGACACCCAGCCCTTCACAGTTTGTGCAGTCATGGACACCTCATCCCCCTGGGCTGGATCCTGCCAGAAGAGGCTCCAGCGCCCCTGGGTGCTAAGGACACGGAGGCAGAGGGGGAAGGGTGGCACCCGCTGCTGGAGGTGCAAAGGAACAAGCTGGCCTTGCACCCCCACCCCTACCCCCCAGTAAGGACTCAGGCATGCACAGCTGAAAGGCCCCCAGGCCACGGCTGAGACCAGGCTACCAGGGAGACCGGGGAGAAACCACCTGCTGAGGGTCACACAGCTCCTCCTCCTGCGGGCAGGGCCCCCTCTTGCTTGCCCACTGGGGTCAGGAACAAGTGCTGGAGAGCGGACACCAGGCTGGCTAAAGCACCTGCCCTGGGGGGAGGGGGAGGGCTTCTGTGTCCATCCCCTTGAATGAACGGCTGCAGGGAAATAGGGGCAGATAGCCTCAGGCTGGGCCATGACCAAGCAGGGGCAGGTAGGGTGAGGGCTGGCTGAGAGAAGTTTGGGGTGAGGGCTGGGGGGGTGCTAAGGAGTGGAAGAAGGTTGGACATTTCTTTGACCACCAAACCCCAGGGCTGCCACAGGTGGGCAGCCACTGCCCCACGGGGTGGGGTTGCTACCAAGGGGCTAGTTGAGCTGCCCACACGTGTCCGGGCAGCTGGGCTGCAGCAGGCCTGGGCATCCACGGTGTGTGGGGCGGGCAAGCGTCCTATGTACAATTCCAGGGCCTGCGCACTTTTGAGGAGCCACCTACAAAGGGCCCTTGAACTGGTTTCCAGACAGGTGCTGCCGGATGGAGGGCTTGGAGCTGGCTGCATCCCCCAGTTTTCTCCAGACCACCTGTGGGGGTGGGGGGGCGAGAGGTCAGTGGGGAGGGGGGGTTGGCCCCAGCTCTGCAAAGCACCAGCCCTGTGTTCCAACACTGGAGAGGAAGCAGGGGCATCAGCACGTGACCACTGGGTGCAGCTCCTCCCATGGCTGCCAAAGGGGCCTGAGGCCCCCAGCGGCCCTACCAACCCCACTCCTACACCCTACCCCCACCCAAGCCCAGGACCCCACTGGACAGCCCAGGGGGCCCCAACCAGGGACCCTGCTACCAGGTTGCACCCGATCGCCAGCAACCCAAGGGGCCAGGGTAGAACTGCCCCCACAGGGTGCCCAAGGCTGTCACCTCTCGGGGAGCAGAGAGGCTGCCATGCCTCCCTCCCAGGCATGTGAGCCTTAGCAGCCAAGCACTCTGACCACTACGCCATCTGTTGGGGCCAGAGACAGAGGTGGGCCTCTGTGGGTAGCACCAATCCTGGGGGAGGGGTTTGCTGAGACCAGAGACCAAGTCCATGCTGGCAGTGGGCGTGTGGCCGGGTGTGCCCACCCCCCTGGAGGAGGCATGTGCTTGCATGCGCGCATTCTCACGTTGCACATCTCGCGGACGATGGCCTTCTCCTTCTCGCTCAGGTCCTCCTCACAGCTGTCCTGGGGCTGTCGGCCCAGGTTCTCGTGCACCTCCAGCACCTGCAGGCACCGCATTGGTCATCAGGGTCCCCCTCACCCCTGCTGACCCCCACACGGAGGGAGTCCCCTGACTCTCATCCCCTGGGGCCACAGCTGAAGACTGTGCCTCACTCAGACCCCTTTGAGGGAGAGGACAGGCTGATGGGCGTGCTGCCCAGGCTCCGGGCCCTGGGCTTGTGCATGTGACAGTGGGTGTGACAATGGGAGTGCCCCAGGAGGAGGTGTAGTATGCACAGGTGTGGCAGGGGCTTCCAGGGGAAGGGGGAGGCAGTCCACCTGTCCAGCTGACAGAGGTACGGCTGGGGACTGTCCCTGCCCCGCTGCACCTGGGAACCAGAGGCCCAGCCTGGAGACCTGAGCCCCTCTGCCCCTCTCCTGCCCCACCACCTAGGCATGTTTCCCTAGCTGCAGGAGCTTCCAATCCCACCCCCACATTGCCCCCCAGTCCCCTAGATAGAGGTGACTACACCCACCCAGCCAGAGGGGGCCAGTCAGGGTGGGCAATCCCCCACCCCCCTCCAGGGAGCTGGGCTGGGGGCCCCAGGCCTGGCCTCACCTTCATGGCCTGCATGACAGCCTCTGGCTTCTGTCCAGCGGAGCTGTAGCTGCCCGGGGGCGGGGAGGGCAGCTCGGGGCAGGCTGGGCCCTGGGGGATGAGGATGTGTGACCAGAGTGCACTCCCAAAGCCCGGCCAGATCTAGGCAGGGAGATGGGCTGGGGGCGGGGGTCTGACTGCCCCATTTCTCCCAGACAAAATGGCTCCTTGGCCCTCAGGCATCTCTGGCACTGCCCACAGAAGCAACCGCCTCCGGCCAGGGCAGAAGGCCTGCAGAGTCGCACAGCAAGACCTGGTAGGCCATGCCACAGTGCCAGAGCCCCCACCCACCACCCCTGGGCAGCCAGCCTCTGGCTGACCCCCAGGCCTCAGCCCATATCAGACCTCAGGACAGGACCACACATGGCCTAGTGAGGAGGGGGCCAGCTGTGTCTGCTCCCATCCCAGTCCTGGCCTCTACCTATAAGGGTGCCAGCCCAGGAAGACGTGCCTCCAGGGAGGCCTGCACTAATGGGGGCCCAGGTCCAGTCCATGTGTCAGGAACTCAGGGGGCTTGGTGAAGCTAGCTGGGCAGCGACCACAAAGGTCAGCAGTTCAAAACCACTGCTGCTCCCCAGGAGAAAGGTTAGGCTTTCTACTCCCATGCATAGTCACGGTCTCACAGGGCAGTTCTGCTCTGTCCTACCAGGGCGCTAGCAGTCGGAATGGACGGGACAGCAGGAGCCTGGAGATGGCCAGAGACCAGGTCGAAGGCCGGACTTCCCCTGCCATCCAGCAGGGGGTGCCAGCCACACATGATAGAAAGGGTCGTCTTCCTCTGGAAACTTCCACAGGGCCCACACCTTGCCCTGGAGGAAGACCCTCAAGAGAGATGGGCTCTGATGCATCTAGCCTTGGTCTGGGGCTGAGAACCTGGGGGTGGGGGTGGGGGGGGCGCGCAGGTGTGGGTCCTGAGGGAACCCAGTACGGGTTCTTCCCAGGCCCACAAAGTTGTGCCAGATAAAGCCCCTTCCAGGACTGCCCCAGAAAACCTTCCAGAACTTTCTGAAGTCTGCTGAGGCTTCTCAGACCCCGGCCTGGCGGACACTCTCCAGGAGGCCATACCTTTACAGTTCCAGGATAGGCGCTGGGCTGCTAGCTGCAAGGTCAGCAGTGCTAACCCAGCAGCTGCTCCTCAGGAGGAAAAGGAAGCTCTCTACGCCCATAGAGTGACAGCCTCGGAAACCCACAGGGCACGTCCACCCTGTCCTAGAGGAACACTGTGAGTCAGCATCAACTCAGCAGCGAGTTTGATCTTCCTTTTCAGGGATTGGCGGGGGG